TGATTGCGCAACACTGTAGAACTACCATCAGCTACCAGAAATACAGTGATTTCATTCTATTAGGTTAAGCCTATTTTTAGTTAAGCCTTTTTGGCCTGATTTTAATCTTATGCTTCCCTGCAATCTTCCTAGATAAACTTTATTTTAAAATTATTGCCAGTAATCTGAAAGTCACTCTTTATGCATGCTCTTAATTTTAAATTTAAGTTTCAGTTTGAAATCTTCAAAAAAGGTGACAAAAGGTGACTTTTGTGCCATAAGGAGAAAGAAGCACTATTTCCATGTATGCAACTGGCTCCTCTCTGTTGTTCCTCTGTGCTAGCTGTATGTCATGTATGTCAGTGTTATACGCTTAACAAAAAGCACAAAAACAAATTTTCTAAGATAAAATAGAAATATAAATTATTTTAAATTAAAGAATAAACTGCTTTGATAAAATGTTTGGGATTAAGCACACATACTGTATAAGATGTCTTCACCAAAAATTAAATTTTATGAACATTTTGTCATTGCAAGAAACATTCTGTAGTTCCAGTACTTATGTTGAAATAGGACAATCATCTGCTGCCTATAGGGTTGCACTGTGTAGATTATACACAGCTGTTAACGGTACAATTTGTTCTCTATTAAATTAATATTACCATTACCTTGATTTAGGTAAATGCTGTACACAAAATGAAATCTTGGAGCAAATGTACGTTCTGATTCATTTTTAAAGTTTTGATAACACTAGGTTTCTACAACATATTATAGTATAGCAATCTATATCGGTGGCATACGTGTTAATGAAGTCAATTGAAAAACCAGTATTGCACATCACATTCAAAATAATTTACTCGCAATGGATACTTTCTTCAAAATGAGTTTCCTAAACACCCCACAGCATTATCCAAAAAACAAAGGTGTGATACACCTAATTTCTAAAATATTGTTTATTATAGTTAATTTGAAATTAAAAGGCAACCCAGTTTCCACGGGTTTCGTAATAAATTAGATTATAATAAGCTGTCAATTGTTTTGTATTTATTTTTATACATATGCAGTCACTTCTTCTTTCTAAACTTTTAGTTTACTTAAAATATATATTCATTTCCAATTATTATTTTAAAAAATCGTTGTATCTAAATGGTTTGTGTCCTTTTCCAAAAATGCTCAACTCAGCATCCTGAGCGTGGAGTTTCTGTGCAAATACTCAAAGTCTTCAAAAAAAACAGCAAGCGAACTTTTTTTCACAAAATGTTTAATCGATAAACTTGTTTACAAAAGTAGTGTAGATTAGAGATGCCATTATTATACATTAGGCAAGTTCTTTTCTAGAGGTCATGCAGTTTGTGGTGTTGACCAGTTCAGCTCAGTGACAATAATATATATATGTTTTTTTATTTCATTAGTGTAACGCAATCAAAACTAATTTGGGCTCTACTAAATACCACCGCAATTGGTTATCTTTGGTATAGGCCTACAGAAGCCTTTTTCTTCCTAAATAAATTTCTTAAAAACAACAAGGTAGTGTTTATTTCCTGTATTAAAAATATAGGCCCATTTTATCTCGTTAAAATCTTTTCAGGTTGCAAAAGGTAAGTTAGGTAATGGAAGTTTTTTGGGGGGGTTGACTCCCTATGCTTTTCTTTTATCTCCATGAATTTATTTACAACAACACATCAGCAAGTTAACATCGTGTGACCGCCACAGTTTAGTTTTAGTTTATTTGAAAGAGATTACGTGGGTAAAAATATCGGATTCCTCCTGATTGTTCTCTCTTAAGGGAAGATTAACCGCAAGCAGCTTTTTTCTTCAAGCGCGACGCCGATGTCTGGACACGATAGTCGTATTTCAGACACCAACAAATTCCACGGCTCCAGAAGCTCTTCAAATTAAACGCAACTGACACAAAATGAAGGCCCAGGAGACTAAAAGCACTTTAAAAATAAAAATGGGCTTTTTAAACAAAAGGGACGCATGCTTTATAAAACGAAACAGTTTTGGAAGTGCTGGTATTTCCAACTAATTGGTAGAGATAGAGGCACAGGTGTCTGAGATCTCAACAGTCATTTTTAACCCACGAATAATTGGTGGGCTGCTGGTTTAAAATAAAACGTAACTGTCTGGACATCGAACATTGGATTTTTTATGCTGAGATTAAAATAACTAATCTGTAAAATTGGGCACAAGTATAAATCGATTTGGACAAAACCTTCAGACAAAATTAATCCAGGACTCCTCCAAGACCACAAAAACTGGCGATTTCAGACCGCTCAGTAACTGTACGTCTTTAACGTGTAGCTTCTTCACTTTCAAACTGCCAAAGTGCAAATATCTTATCAACTGCAAATATGAAACATGCAACAGTCCGGCTTGATGTGCCTGCTTGATATTCACAACATCTGTATGATGTTCCAAACCTTATCCTATTATTTAAATTTTTGCAACTGCCAACCTTTAATTTCTCAGTTTCTGCTCGTTTTTTCATGTTATTGTCTTTTTGTTTATGTGCAGTATTCATTTATCGTTTAGATAATGTAAATTGCAAATGTATTAAGTCGACTTTGATAAGGACGTCTATTAAAACAACAACAACAACAACAACAACAACAACAACAACAACAACAAAGAAAAGCCATTAAAAGTGGGTTTGTAATTTTCTAAAGGCAGATAGTTAATATTTCCACTTAAAGTAGTTGCTACGAAACGTTCATCCTGAATAATAGTATTCATGATATTGCTAAGTGATACACTGTACATGTAGACGTTGTTTATTAAAAGTGTTTATTTTATTTCTTTTCGGTAAGATCTCATTAATCCATGACATGGATGAATGAATGGGTAAGGTTTCTCATTAATTGACGAATTTAAGACGTAAAACATTTATTTTATTATCTTGCCTTATTGTCTTTGAAATTGTGCATATTTTGCCAGTGATTTTTCATTAAACGTTACTCGTCGCCATCAATTATTTTTAATACAGTACTGCGAAGGTGTATTTTTGTGAACCATCGTTCAGTGATTTTTGGTCCAAAACATCGTTTCTTTTTTAAAAAAAAAATGAACATGTTATATATATTTATGACCAGTTTAAGTGTAAACGGAAAATGAGTAATCTTCCAAAATGACAAATTTATAAATGATTGTGAATTATAAATCCTTTTGGATTCTAGAACTTACCTTGACAATTACAATAGGTATTTTTTTATGTCCAAAACCAGCCTATTATTTCAAAGACGGGTAGGCTTTTCTATATGATAGCAATGTGCCTGACTGCATCATTACGAGATCTTACAAGGTCTTTAATTTTGTTTTCCTTTGTTTAACCCCTTTAACAGCCTCGCAATACATTTTGTCTTTGAACAAATACAAACATGTATTACCTGCTATCTATACAAATATAAACATTTTATTTCTTAGACTTCTTGATGTGACGTATTAGAACAGACTACCTTGGTTTCTCTATTCGTTATTGACTTTTGCGTAGAAGAGAATATAAATCAGTCTTTGTGATAGACTCTATAATGTGTAGAACCACTTTTATTTAATTTCCCCTTTCTGTGTGTGAGCAATATAACATAAAGGAATTCATTGAATGTTCTTGTTACAAGAAAGTAATTATTGAATGCTGTTGGTATGGGCGATTTAATCTGAAAGAGTACTGATTACATTTTCTCGACGTCTAGTGAAGAATTTTAAGAATACTTTATTTTACGGACAGAGAACATTATAACATTGACTTACATTAAGAGAAACAATAATACCGCAACGTATTGTAAATTTATTAGATTAATTCCGATTTATCTACCCTTTCTCCCGCTATATATAAATCAACAAGTCTTAGACCTGAAGCCTGTTCTGACAATTTGTCAGATTTGGAGTAAAATTTGTAGTAAACAGAAAGTACAGACTGAAAATGACAATTTTGTTATGATCGCCTCAGTATATATATATATTTCTTAGTCTGTTTTATCCATCTGTACGTTTTAATCGCTTTATCGAGTACAGTGTCTCTAAGACGGCAAACAACGGGAGCAAAACGGGATACAACGTGGACTGGACGCCAAATCGTTTCAGAGCACACTCACAACAGGACCAATTTTCTCAGAAGCCAATTAACCCACCAGTATGTCTTTGGACTGTGTGAGGAGACCGGTCCACCCAGAGGAAACCATTTTTCGGAGGGGGGCCCACGCGACCGCGGGGAGAACATAAACTCCACGCAGATACACCTCAGTTCCGGAAAAGAGCCACTGCGCCACCGTGCAGCTCCAGGTTCTGCTCTTCAAGAAAAACGAATTCTATGCATCCATTAAATTATTGATTTCTCTTGAAAACGCAATCACGTTAAGTATCATAGCATGGGGAGCTCAAATGAAATATATCAATATTATATTTTATGAAAATGTATAAATATATTCGTATACCGAAAACTGTGTGATATACAGTATACACAAAATAGCCAGATAAAACATATTACAATTCAATATTTGTACTGTAAACACTTTTAGTATTAAAATATCGAGCTTACTTGACAACACTACAGTCGAGTGACTATACAAATTAGTATATTTCAAAGAATTTATGTGGTCACATATCACAGTCTACTTTTTTTTTAAAGTAAGGGACCTTTATGCCACATGTTCGTTTATAGGGTTAATTCTACACATAAACAAGAGTGAAAGAGAAACTCTTAACAAAAGAAGACTGCACTCCTATTACATTAAAAGGGAAGAAAGTGCATTACTGACCTCTTGAATTCGCAGGGAATATGTAGATAGGGACAACACTTTGTCCTCACAGAAACGCGTTCAAGAAACGGTCACATAATCGTTACTGCTGTCTATATAATTCATCTCATGGACGAATTGACCTACTGGTATCGTAAGGTTAATTTACTACTACGGTTTTGAAATGTGACAGACTTCTACACGTCCCCCTTTTGGTAATAAGGCACACCACTTTCCCAATTTTAAAAACATCGATGAGTAGATTATAAGAAGGAAAAACAGGTTTATTCCCTTAAAAATACAGTTAATTCAGCAATGCAATATAATTTACAAAACAATGCAAAAAGAAGACAAATGTACATGCTCGCGATTGAAAGAACCTTTACAATTCTGAAATCAATAATTAGCACGCTTGAAAACAAAGAAAGGCAGATTGGACTTCGAAATTTTCATTCCAGTAATTTGCTCTAGCATGCTATCACTGATTCACCCTACATCAGTTACAATGAATTAAATCATCGTTTGCCAAAACGATGGATATATACACTGGGTCGTTTAAAAGTGCATTCATTGGTGGTATTGTTAGACCACTAATTATCTGAGCCCAGATGAAAATGTTTACAGAGAACAAGAAGCAGAATTCAAAACCACGAAAGAGCGCGTAATGATGAAATCGTTATTTATCCTACAGCAATAAAGGCTAAAGTTAAATATGAAGTCTTTTGAAAATTAAATTGCTGGCACAAACCTTTCCATGTTACCGGAGTATGATGCGTGTCTTAGATAGGCATTCGTGCCAGTGATAGGAGTATTGCTATTGTACTGTGCTAAAGTGGTAAACTGACCAGGTGACATTCTTCCGTAGGGGTCCATAGTCTCATTTGTCACCGAAGGAGAAGAGCTGGGTATCCCCAGACGGCTCGACGCCCCATAAATCTGTCCGTTTCCTTGGGAATAAGAGGTCTGGTTCATGGACAGGTGTCCGTTCGGCACAGAATAAGGGAAGGACATCGGATTGGAAGACCTGGATAACATTGTTCCGCTACAAGACTGACTTTGATAGCTGGCCCCAGTGAAGCTACAGGAACTAGCCCCTGAAGCCAGATCAGGACTGAAACTGCGGTTGGGCTGTTGAATGAGGTCAGCCCCCGTGGCGAGTCCGCCGTGGTGCCCTATGATGGTATTAATGCTAAACATCCGGGACTGAGTTGAGCTGAAGCTCGGTGAAGACGCAGGATAGTAGGTTGATGCTATCTGTTGCGTAAACGGGGGGTTTACTGTCATGTTTGGGTACATGGAATTGGCATAAGCCGACCTGGTCACTTGCATAGGGGCGAATACGGAGGACTCGTGGACGTAGGTGGGGTAGGTGGTCAAGTCGCATCTTTTGAACCTTTTCCTCCTTCTCAGAAAGCTGCCGCTCTCGAACATGTCCTCCGCGTTGGGATCCAACGCCCAGTAGTTCCCCTTTCCAGGTCTCCCGGGTTCCCGCGGTATCTTGATGAAGCAGTCGTTCAATGTCAAATTGTGGCGAATGGAGTTCTGCCACTTCTTGGAGTTATCCCTGTAGAAGGGAAACCTTTCCATAATGAACTTGTAGATGCCTCCCAAAGTGAGTTTCCGGTCCGGGGAGTTGGCAATAGCCATGGATATCAAAGCAATGTAACTGTAAGGGGGTTTCCCCCGCTGCAGCGGCCGTTTCCTCCGCCGACCTTTTGGGGGTTCTTCTGTTTCTGTGTTGGCCGCAGAAAGAGAAACATCAGACGATGAGTCTTTCTCCAGTTTTACTACTGGCATTGTTTTGCCGCTGAATGCGAGGGACCGGTGAAGATTATACGGAACAGAAGAATCCTTGCAGGGTGATTGCTGTGTATCTGCAGTCATTTAGCCTCTTGTCAGCTTGTATTAATTCCAAGCGCAGGGAGCGCACTTAGGTAAACTGTCACAAGTTTTAACTTGTAGGTGCAAGAGTACCGGGAGTGGAAAAGCTTTTTTTCCGCAATGCCTTGCCGTCAGGAACTTTTAGAATTAGAAACGCATTAATTCCAGTTGAAACCTTCTGTCTGCGAACTGAAGTCCCCCCTCCCAAATAGCCGGATATAGTCAGTAAAAGTATCATCAGATATGAGCAGATAAATCGTGTAGATGAACTTGGATCGTGCTCTAATTACATGCGATACATATTCCAAAAGTCCATGTAGATGAAATAGTAATATAACTTATAATTACTGTATGACGCCGAAAGAAAGAGTTGCAAGTTTTCCTGGCAGTTGTTTTCGTTTATTTGGAAATTTAAATGTTCACGCCTCAGCGCAAAGCAACCTATCGACTTGGCGAGGATCAGTGGAAATGAATGTGTGCAGTTTGAGCTATTCTTATACCTGTCCCTCTGAAATTCAAGGATTGCAGTGACGATGGAGAGGTGTAGAGTGATTTGAGGATTCAGCCTGGTCACACCCACAGAGAGAACACCAAGCTTTAAAGTGACAGAAATATTTATTACAATAATGTGCTGTATTTGGTATTAGAGAGCATTAGCACTTACAGTGCCAACAATAAAAACAAATAATTGTTACCGTTTTCTAAGTTACTTTTAGTTATCGGATATGTTATATAAATACTAACAGAAGTAAATACAATTCAACAATACGGTAAACGTGAACCAAGCCCAAGGTGATCTTGATGCGTTTATCTTCGTGCCTGTATTATTATTATTCAGACCAATACAGTAAACGAAACGCTACATTTCGCAAGAAATGCTAGTTTTGTCAAATTAATTAAACAATAGAATATTTCAGTTTAATTTAACTTCAGAACTCAACTCTACGTGCCATTCAGTAAGATTAACTTTAGCTAGAAACATGCATAAAATGTCCTTCAATTAATTTGAATGAATCTTTTTAAAGCTGCCTAAACGCCTTATATTATAGACGGCCACCTGAAAATATTTGAACAAATTTACATCTTTAATGTTAAGCATATGCAAACATAAAACCAAGATGATGTATACATGATATCTACTCAGTTCCTGGGCAAAAACAAGCATAAAATAAAATGAGGAAGTCGTGTTTTTTGGTCACATAGGAAAGTAGAACAAAAATTTCAATGTTTCTGCTGTGTCCGTTTTATTCAGGTGTGGGGGACGACGAGAGAGTAGATTTGGCAAAAGCGATGGGTAACGACGACAATAGAAAACACAGTCATATTAATTACCCGTCAAAAGGTAGGAGAAAGTTAAATAGAAACATTGTTATTGCTGTTTACATAAAAACAATTTATCTTTAACTGTTACTGTTTAATTTACTATATTCTAATAAAAAAATAAAGAAGAAAAGGTGAATTTTGTCATTACACACATTTCCACATTATTCGTCCATGGTTATTTTTATTGTCGGATACCAAAAGCACAATATAATATGAATTTATGCTTTTTAAAGTATTTACCTTGTTTCCTAATCGAGGTCTTCACTTGTTTGTAGGTGACTAATTTGGTCAGAACATTGGACTATGGATTATGGAATTTATAGTCTTAATTCGCAATATTTTATTAGGGACTTTAAATTTCTATTGTAAAGTACTGTATATTCTCGGTCAATCCCTCGCTATGAATTCGTTAAAAATAGGAATCGTTAAAAATAATCCAATAGAGAAAAAAAACGTAGAGCTAAGTAAAATTCTAAAATAACGAACAAGGCCAACTTGAGTGTGTTATTATTTATACATATATCTGTGCAAAATTCTCTATAAAAACCATCATATGTATATCATATATACATTTCACTATTTGTTTCGATTCAGTGAAAAAGCACTAACACGAAACGATCGCTAATTAGAAAACTGTAACTGTATTGAAATATAGAGGTAGTGGTCGGTGTTTTCGGAAAACCACAGACATAAAACTTTCTATACTGCCACGTATTCCTGTTTATCTCGGATACTCGGATAAATTAATAAATTAAATTTGCGCATAAGCATGAGAAGTCTTCGCTAAGTTTTGTTTACACTGCAACAATGTAAAATTGCCTGTTTAGAGCGGCTTTACAAAATCTTTAAAAAATTAAGAAAACGTTTTCTCTCTCCCATGAGTCTTTATAATCTCATAATAAAGATGAAAAGTCGACTAAAAGTATATTCAGTGTTATATAACTATAATTATTAATATAAAATTATTACATATTAAAATTACAATCCAAATGATAATCAGTACAACAGTGTTATGTTACACCGTATGGTCATTTTTTGGTTATTGCAAACATGTTTCTGAGGTGTAAAAGTTACAGATAATTGCCCAAAGACGTCATAAAAACAATTGAAGAGAAAATATAACGAAAAACCATCAAATGTACAGTATACCATATAGAATTACGTTTTCTATTTGAATAATTATATTGGAATAATAATAATAAGAAGAAGAAGAAGAAGAAGAAGAAGAAGAAGGTTATTATCGACGTATGAACAACAGTTGGAATTGTCCACGTTACATGTCTGTTTCCTGCCATTCACCACACATTTTGCAGATTGTTAAGCATTCAGAGGTTGAGGGGAATACGTAACACTGAAGAATACCTTTAAAGTCTTCTAGTTCAAGAGAATTCTACAAAAACGATCTGCACATAGGAAAATATAATTAATGAATAATGTATAATTAATTTCAGCTACAAGAGATGTTTTCTTCTTTTATCTAATCACAAACATGTTTGTAAACGCTGATCGAAGGAATTCGATGCGGCCTAAAAAGGCAAGTTGGACATCTTGGTTGATATTGTAACGCAACGGGGGCTCAGGCGGGCCCCCGTTGCGTTACAATATTGATATTTTAGAATACATTCATTGTCCGTTAAAATAACACAAAAAAAACGTTATTTTATTTTTATACTGAATTACATTTACATTGACATTATATTTTAATACACACAGAAGATAAACTCGGTATCTGTCAGGTCACATAGAGCGAAACACACGGGTCATGCATAACGTTTTAAGTACGTGCAATGAGGACTGAAAGTTTGTGGGTGGTGCTTCTTTACAAAGTCACAGTGGTATGAAATAAACCAGACATTCAACTAGCTTCGTTTTGTTAAAAGAGTGGTACATGTGATTTTGGGGGTCATTTAGTTTTTAGCAATAAAACATTGTTTTTTTATAGTCTTAGGTTGATTTGACAAGATCTTTTACTGGTATTTGCAGTTTGAAAAGACATTTATCTTAATAGTGATTTGGATTTGGCGACTAGATTTCAGTAAAAGAATGTCTACGGCCACTTTCTTTGCTCTGGTATTAGGTGTTAATAAGAGTTTGCCCCTAGTAAGCTCGTTTATGAAATTAATACCTGTAGATGTCAATTCAAGCCGCCGTACATAAATTACTGATAGGACTGTGC